ACCCTGCTTACATAAGCAAATGCGGATAGGTGGGCACACTTGAAGCAAGACACCACATATCAGAGACCTGTTGCTCATAAATGTACATAGATCGATTGTGGTTGTATTTAGTTTGAGATTGAGACATTACAGTCATCAAAAGGCTAAGACAGTCGACCTTTGATTGAGCACCTCAGCATGGCAACCTTACACTCACTCTTCACTCATAACTTTAGAACATGATTTTTTTGAACAAAAGTAGCATTACCATTGGAATCCGATGGTTCAGTAACCCCCATTGAGATGTCTATTCGACACAAGGCAAGTCGTACGAAGGCTGAAAAAATCGATCATTGTGAGGCAATAAGACAGGGGCGACCCTGCTTACATAAGCAGATGCGGACACCTGAGCACACTTTCAGCAGACTCCACAGATCAGAGGTCTGATGCTTCTAAATGCACATAGATCTACTGCGTTTGTACCAAGCTTTAGATTCAGATCATGTCTTGAGTCTTCCTAATAGGATTCCTTCTCAGTAGCTGTCCTTGGGTAGACTTTTGCTTGCATTCAGGACTTACTGTGATTCCTCCTATGCAGCCCCTGCAGGTCCAATTACTACAATTTGCATGCAATGGCAATACTTCAGCGTGCGAAGTTGGGAATGAACGTCAGTCAGGTGCTTTAGCGAAGTAGAGGTCAAACTAACACTGTCCTTGGTAGATTTTTGCTTGCATTCAGGACTCACTGTGATTCCTTGGTTTCTTGCTCATTTTCCCCACAGTTTCGATTCCTCTTCTTCACTTCATCAGTCTTCTTCATTTTGAAGTCAGCAGTGCTTGCAGGGCAATCCACTTTAGCTTTGTCATGTGTCATGTGAGACACCTCATCTCTAATGCGCTGATCTAATGCATGGTCAAAGCCAATGCACTTGAGCCTCGCAAGGTACAACTTCTGCAAAGCTTCATGAGTTATCCACTACTGGTAGCGTGAGTTGGGTACACATGTAGTAGAAATGACCCACCTAAAGAAGTAAATTTGAAGGTAAACACCGTGCCAGGATGGTCGTCCCAAACTGGTTTGTAGCTCGTTTGTTCTACCCAGTCCAGCCCCGCAGGCCTGTTGCTCCTCAATGTATATGAATTGATTGTGTTTGTACTAACTTTATATTGAGACATTGAAGTCATCAACTGTGCATGCCACCCGCCTTGTACATATCTTATATATGACTCATTGCGCCCTGCGCCCTTTCCAATCCACTGGTGCTATCATTACTCATGTTCTGGGTCGATTTTCCACCCACTTTCTCTGTGTCCTTAGATACAAGGGAATTTTCCTTGTTGTTTGCAGTGACTATCTAAGTCTCGCACATTAGTTGTCAGTCCTTCGCCTTAGCATCAGCCAACCTTAGTTGGGGTGTTAACAGTCATCTTGCTTTGTCTTTCTCTCGTCTCGTTCGCTCATGGTGCTATCTCTTTCATATTTGATTCTACATCATTTTGGTAGTGCCTTGAATCTTTTACATATCTTATCTATGACTCATTGCGCCCTGTGCCCTTTCCATTCCACTGGTGCTATCTCTTTCATATCTAAATCTTCACTATTCTCGTGGTTACATATGACTCACTTCCCCTCTGCCCATACAATTTTCCTACTTATTTCGCAGTTCTTCCCTTCCTACCTATACGTAGACGCCACAGATGCCCTGTATTATTGACTAATAGATATTCTTTTGCTAAGTATATGTTACAATTCAACAGGCGAGGGCTTTTTAATCACAGCACACTCCTCTATTGGTGTCATCTTGTTGATAATTGTGCTGGCTATTGTCAAATAGCAGGTACCATTATCAACAGGATGACTTCCATGGAGGAGTGACACCAGCAAAATAAGTGAACTCAGCTAAGTAAAAAGGTGCAAAATTGCGAAACTCACTGGGCCTGTTATCAACAGAATGACTCCCATGGAGGAGTGACACCCAGGAAAGAAATGTGGAGGTACAAAAGTGCAAAGATTGCGAAGCGAAACTGGGCCTGTTATCAACAGGTTGACCCTCATTGAAGGATGACACCCAGGAAAGAAGCACAAGTATGATTAATACTATACCTTGCCTGCTTCTGACGCAATCCAACAAGTCATCGAATTCTCTTTCAGCATTCTGGACTTGACTTCTTTATATTCCGGCAGTGGCTTGTTGTCAACAAATACCGAAGCAGAAAATTGACCCAAAATCATGATTGGCCAGTAATGAGCTCGAGATGATGACGACAATTATATTAAGTGACTCTGTGAGACTTGAACTAATAAGTTAGTTACAAAAAACTTCACTTTGACTTCGAGCTCAGGAAGTCCAAATGAAATTTGTCGGAAAGTCTGAGAGTTCATTTGCTGGACAGTTCCTAAGACTTTTACAAATCAAATTTCCATTAGACTCCCAAATGTACAAGGATAATTTACCCCTGTAATTTGGCAATTTTATTAATATGAAGGTTGAAATAACTGAGCCCAGGTTGATCAAATCATCATTACTCACTTTAGTCTCATGATATTAATGACCTCTAGTAAATTCTTTATCTGAAAGTGAGATGTCTATTCGACACAAGGCAAGTCATATGAAGGCTGAAAAACTCGATCATCACGAACATTGTTTGTACGGAAAATGGACTGGTCAAGTATCGCAACACATACCCAGGCGGGCTGGTGGCGTTCTTCGCAGACCTTGCATAAGAGACATATGTCATCAAGGTAGTGATGGATGGGTCCGGTTTGGTCCAGTTCTCTGGAAAATTCTTTGAACCAAGAACCGAACTATAGGTTCAGTTCTCTCCACAAACAGAACCGTGGACCGGACCATCGGTCCAGTCCAATAACGATCCAGTTCCAGTTCATAAAGGGTCCGAACCCTGAACTGGACCATCCACATCTAAGCCCAAAAAAATAATTTTGGCCGAGACGTAGAGTAGTGCAAGATAGTAGCTATACAACAAAGATAAAATAAAACTACTCGCTATCTTCATCTGCATCATCATGGAGGGCAGCAATCAGTGCATCCAAGTGCTGCTCGGCATCACTGGCAGCAGAGATATGACCATTGCGGTACGCACTCTTCAACAACTGCAAGCTCTCAAACACGTCTGTTTTGAGACGGTTCCATCGTTTGGTTCCCGTCAATCCGCCACTTGAAAAGGCACGTTCTGAGGGTGTACCAGAGCCTTGTATGGACAAGTAGTCCCTGGCCATGCGTGAAAGAGTCGGGTACTGTGACTGGTGGTGCTGACAAATTTTCATTAGTCAACTCGTATGCTTGTGATAGCATAAACACTCACCCCCCACCAACCTACGACATCATCAGTCTGCTCGAGAGGACTTCCAATATAAGCCGTAAGTTCAGCGCGAGGGTCCAGCTTGGTGCGATCTGATGTGAGACGTGCTTGAACAGCTGCAAGCACCCATGAATGGCCATACTGACCATGCAAGTCAGATGTCCCTTGTTCGTTGTCAGCCTCTACAGCAACAGAGTTCGGGGCCACATCATGGTAGTACTCATCGAACGACTCTTTGTCCCACTGATGTTCGGCATATGCAATCTTGACATTGGGGTTGAGTGCTTCAAAGCCAGTAACTCATCAGTATCATCATAAGTGAAGAGGTATGAACATACCAAGGCAAGTAGAGTTTGCAGGAAGTATAACACATCTTTGATCATCATCAAAGATGTGTTATACTTCCTGCAAACTCTACTTGCTGATGGGGTCGGACAGGTGGGCAAACTTGACACAAGACTCCATATATCAGAGATCTGTTGCTCCAAAATGTACATAGATCGATTTTAGTTTTATATAGCTTGAGATTGATGTATTTAAATCATTAAAATGCTGAGCCAATCGACCGTTGTGTTGTGAAAAAATCGATCACTGTGAGGTAGCAAGACAGGGGCGACCCTGCTTACATAAGCAGATGCGGACAGGTGGACACATAGAATAAGACTTTTACAAATCAAATTTCTGTTAGGCTCCTAAATGTAAAAGGATCAGTTACCCCTGTAATGCGGTCAATTTAGTCATATGAAGGTCGAAACAACCGACCCCAGGTTGAGCACCTCAGCATTACAATTGCTCAAGAGACGAGCAAATCGAGTGAGAAAACTTAAACTGACAGAAGGGCTGACAGTGTACCTAGCAAGACGAGTAAATCGAGTGAGAAAAGGCAAGGCCCCAATTTCACCGAGTCTCGCTAGATATAGACTGTCATAAGATTAGGCTCCACTAAAGGAGCCCCCAAGGATAAACACGGGTAGACCCGAGGAACGAGTTTGCTGAGGAGCCCGCTCGTCCAATTACCCTGGTATAAACAAGATGAAACTCGACAAATTTACATCCGCCAAATACATACAAAGATGTTGTGTCCAAATCAAGGGGTGAAATTTTTAATGCAAACGACTGTAAGCTCTTCATTACATCATCTCAGATTTCCTGTGCAACTGGCTACTTAGTGTTCACCACTCGAGCTATTCACCTAGTTATTCACGTGAATAACTCGATGGTTATCCACGGTACACCACTGCAACTGATAGGTAAGTCATATGTTGAAACTCCGCCTGTGGCGTGTGAACCACACATAATCACAAGGTTTAAATTGTCGCGCATTCACCCTTTTCATTCCCTCACCATTCACACTTCGCTATCGTTCCCTTATGGGAACTGTTGAGCCGTGGGCTCTGACGTTGCGTTTTGGTTGACTCGCGGCCCATAAATGTCGTTGATGTTTAGGCTGCGAGTCCCGTCTTCCCACATGGCAACTGGTAACTTCTCTTGTGTCCAGCAGACCTGCATCACAATCGACATGGTGAACATGTATCCAAGTCTTGCTACACAATGCAGAGTACGGAATCATGCCAACTCCTCCGTCTATCACCAATCCGTCCGAGTACACCCTTATCTTCTCAGCTGCCCTTTGGTGTTCCTGGAAGGCATTCTATTTCGTCTCTGCTATCCTTACACGGCCAGACGTTGAACGCAAAGCATCACGCAACCTTTCGACGCTTTACCAACCTGTTTTCCTTAGCAGTTGACTTCTGACCTGCTGTATCGTCCAACTCCCCAGGAAAACGGCTGTGGGCCCTTGCCGCATCTTGACTATTGATACGGTTCGAGTTCTGTGCCTTCTGCCTCTTCGTAGCAGTGGACTTGGCTCCTAGGGGTAAGCGCTCGGCTTTGTCATCCGTGGGCCATGTAAGGTCTGGGTTTTGCAGGTAAGCCCGAATCATCAAAGGGAACCAAGAACGCCTTTTTAGATTCTCAAGCTTCTGTTGATACTGTCCGTAGGTCAAGCCGGCAAGGATATTGGCCCAAAACGGAGTGGTCAAGTCCTCAACGGAAGTCCTTGTCGTTTCATAGGTATGAAAGTCTTCTTTGGATGGAGGGACCTGGTAACGCACGGCAAAAGGAGGGTTAATCTCCCTCAGGAGGTCGAGGAGAGGTGAACCGGCTGAGAATGCAACCAACTCGGACGGGAGATACGTGTTTCTTACTAGACGGCCACATTTGCAATCACCGCCGACATATACACCATTCTTCTCCTGTACTTCGTCGAAGATTAATGAAAGATACGAAGAGCGCTCCTGAGCAGTCAAATTACTCGGACAGTAGCGTATTGCTGTCCATGTCAGCACGTGAAGAAAGGACTCGAGATCATCTTCGAAGTCCTGATGCTTCGTCGGATCACTCAATAATGCTGCTGACATGAACTGCCAAGTGCCCTATAGCAATCGTAAGTTTATGACAAGAAGGATAGCACAAACGCCACTTACCGTCCGGTCATGACGTCTCTTTTGGATTGTACCGCGCTTCCGACACAAATCCCAGTCGATGAGAAGACCCTCCCCATCGTCTGTGACAATGAGATTTCCGACGCTCACGTCCCGGTGCAAAATACCAGCCTTATGATAGGCATCCTCGTGGGCTGCAGGGAAAATGAATATCCGTGGAGGGAGGCGCAAAATTGGGAAACCAACCTTCCAAGGCGTCGGCCACCGCGCTCACGAGCTCATATGTGGATCGGAATATCGACAGCTCGCGTCCAACCACACCGAGCACCATGCGATAGTGTACGTGACCAGTGGCAAAAGGCATACCGCACACCCACGACTCCTCTACATATTCATGCGTCACTGTACGTGACCCGTGACCTTCTAAGTCGTTGCCACGTTCAAAGGGCGCGATGTGAGGGACTTGATAACCGTGCAGTTGGCGGTAGGTATCGCCTTCCTTCTGCATATCATTGGAGTCGATCCTCCACGTGTCTTTCAGGTATACAACACGGTCCTTTACTGGATCATATACAGGAAGTGAACGCGTGGCACGACCTATTAGGGATCGTGACGGAAAGTGAGGACGCGGACCAATGTAACGATACAGCGCGGTCAGATCAGGATCGTCTCGATGAGCGCGGCTTATGTCATCATCTGGCACCCCATAATAAAACAACTTGGTTGACGTTGGCAATTTGAGCTTGGTGCAAATCTCAAGGGTATCAAAATCAGCTTCAACCTCGGTTACTGACTGGTCCAACCCCATCCTCTCTGCACTGGCCAGGCTAAACCGCCAAAAAAAATCGGCAAGGAGCCCAGGTTGTTCCGTATAGTCGAACCTCTCAGTCACCACAGCCCCTCCACGGTCCCAGCGTAAAATGCGAGCGTGCTTGCCGATGATTGCGACCGAGAATGCAAATTGGCGGAATTGACACCCAATCTGCGTGAGCGCATATGCGATCATCTGACCCCTAGTGAGCATTCCATTTGTCGTGTCGCACTCGAATTTCCAATTGTTCAGAAATATGTCGAGTTCTTCGCCCAATAATTTAGAGAGCGTATCCTGCGGAGGATCCGCGAACGCATCATGCTTATCCAAACTTTTGACCTCCAAAAACATAGCCATGAGTTCAAAGTCGGTGATCTTGGTGCGACCACAGTCTTTGGGATAGAGTGCTACGTCAGGTCTTAATTTGAAACCGCCGTATTCAACGCCGCTGCTAGGGTGTTGACTAGTGTCAATGACCTCAAATCCGGGTGTGAATGGCTTCATAGCATCTGCCTGACGAACACAAAAACTATCAGATTAATATTTATAAGTAATTTTACTATTCCTTACCAGGAGCGTGTAGAATGACTTTTCGGATGCACCTTCTGGTATTTTACGGAAATGCTGCTCATGAATGTGAGGACAGGCTTCCTGGCCAGGTAGTCGCGGCAGATAGTCATCCATAAATTTTTGCAGGGGCATTGGCCCTACGAATCTGTCTTTCATTTCTTCGGCAAGCAGAATTTTGATCTCATCCTGCGGAGGGAGTTGAGAGACTGCAAATGGCGTTGAGCCAGACATTCTCTTTGATATTGGCGTTTCTTGCGTGAGCACAGATCCAAATGGTTTGTTGGCACAAGATCCACTGGCTTGCGGAGGATCGGGTAGCGGAATATCGGGTGACGGGGTTCTGGGAGGACGTGGGCTGCATGAAACCTTTGACATTATGTGGTACAGAAGATGGATACGCACCAGCACAGTCGAGGGAGGCTGTTCTTAAGGGTAAGGGTTCCTTGCTCCACGTGGATCGCGCTTCCTAAGGTGCACGTCTACTTAGTCGCCGCTATTCATGTGCAGGCGCAAGCTAGTCCTTCAGCCAGAACGTGGGATATATCACCCTTAATTACATCATCATGGGTATTTGAACCCCCTGACAATAGGGGCATGGTGGGTGACGCTTACTAAGCGCGTGCCTGCGCTGTCGTACCTGATCATGTCGTTCTTGCAAACTGCAAATAAAACCTCATTGGCTGCTCCTGACAGTTTTTTGCAAGCATCTGCAAGCTTCCTGATGATTTGACAGCAGCTCCGCTGAATGTAGCCAGAGCCTGGGTGATCGCGTTCTGGATTGCACAGGCCAAGTTGTGACAGAAGGGCCGGGTTGATAATCAACGGCAGAGGCTCGCGAGGTATCTTGGTCTTGACCTCATGAATGGTGCTGGGACCAGCCCCATTTCTGTCTCCCCGAGGACACAAGAAGAGGACATCAAGGAACACCAGTTTAGCCGGTTTCGGCGGGAGCCTGCAATTGGGGACAATGAAGGAAAGCAGTTTTTACCGTGTGACAGGTCGTCGGGTGAGTCAGCCGGCGCTTTTATTGTCTCCGAGTTGATGGCAGCCCTATCAATCTTTCTACTACAGAACATTGCAGCGCGGACCTTCTTCAGGAGGCAGTCAGCCTGGTCGCCAAGCTCACTGTGCATGTTACGCTGTCTACAGTGCTCCACTCACTTTAGATGGTCGAATGCAGACTAAGAACAATAAAACTGTCTCTGTGCTCATCTGGGCTACCCATGGTGGGCACTCTATCGCAATCTCACGTCTTGCTAGCCCGGGTGCAACAGCTATGTTTGCAGGACTGGTAATTCTTCTCCAAGTCCTCTCCTGCCCCATGGCATCAGCGACGTAAGCGTTCTAGACAACTTCCAGGTCGACATAGAGAACTTGTAGCGTGCACAAGACCTCCGTGATGCCGTCGAGAATTGCACGTCAGCCGCATCAGTGAACGAAATTATTTGAATTTGTTTCGTTCTTCGTGATCTTGCTGTTTTCGTTTTATGTTGGAAATGGTTGATATTTGGTCGGAAGATTCCGGGCTAGCCGTTGGTTTCGCCGCTCCGTCTGCTACGTCAGCTACCCTTCTACATCAGCCGCTGTCACACATCTCATCGTCACCCAATCGTCATCATCATCGTGCTAGCTGCTATTGCCAGTGGAGGAGAATAAACTCACACATTTTATCATGATCACACCATCGTAATCATGAGCGTGCTAGCTGCTATCGAAGGAGACGAACTCTACTATTATCAGCACCCTCCATGACAGTCTGGACGGCAGGAGAGGTTGATAATGGGATAGATGGTGGGATAGGGGACGGCGGGACACGTGGATCTAGGGCTTTGTAAGCCGCATTGTGATTTCCGTATTATATTTCCCGCACTTCATAGCATTAGCTCCGTGGACGAGCACATCGAGCAGTACGGGTTGTCCCTTCTGCATCTGGTTTTTTCAAAAATCTTTCTTTTTCCACTCCCAACCAGGAAAGTGGTCAACTAACGATCTCGTACTTCGCTCAATAAAATTATTATGCACAAACACCTTCCGTCAGTCAACTCAATAACCCTAACTCTCTCATTCTCATCTCTCCATCCTCTCCAACGCACTCGGCTTAGGAGATCACAGAGCATGATGGCATGCATGTACAAACGGCATAAAGCATAATGAAGGTGAAGAAGAGCCCATAGGCATAGTTATCAGTACCAAATTGTCAATGAAATGCTCACCACCCATACGCAAGATCCCTCCCGAACCGAGCATATCGACCCAGCGCGCCAGAAAAATACAAGAACAAAAGCGCCGCAAATATAAGTAATACTCAGGCAGAGCCATGTTCGCTCACGGTCGTGAACTTCTTTATCCCGAGCCCAACATCCTGGCTTATCTCGCCTGGTCATCGATGTCTTCCGATGCAGGGTCGGGTCTGTCGCCATCCTGAATGACAGACGTCACTGAGTACACACTGTCGACGAAATAAATAGAGACAAACCTAATGGCCATTCCAAGTAATAACCAAGTCTTGTCATACTCATAACGCTCTACGAACACGCATCTACAAAGAGTGAGGAGGAGATATGCCTGCAGAATTTAAAGGGATTGATAATCTTTGGCAGGTACGCTAAACGCGAGTTTCTATGCAAACTCTGCAATTTCCTGGTGAAGTTCCTGTCGCTGGGTGTAAAATTTTGATGATATCGCACACACTGCGAAAGACAAGTTTTTGCGCATTTGAGGGGTTGTAAAATTACTTGTTGTCAGTAAAAATGGTGAGTGGGAACAAACAAGCCAGGGCGTGGGGAACTCTATGATAAGCTCGCAGTGTACGGCATCACATGGCATGATAGTACCTAGGACGGACGTTCAGATAGTCAAAAAAAGCTAGCAGCCGAACAAATCAAGATCAAGATGTATGACACACAAAATTCACATGTCATATAGCGCGACCACTTGTTCGGTACCAACGATGCTCAGCATCTCGGGGTGAATTTGCCGTTCGGTGTACAAGCGTCGCAAGTGTCCAGAGTTTTCTTTAGTGAGCTAGTGAGGACCTCATATTTAATTTTGAGTGTTTCGAATTATAGAGTCGTGGATGCATTTGACAAGAGTCAAAGGGGAGATTCCAAGTGTCTGTGCTCGTGAAAAAATTTCCCTGCGGGACTACCAGCAGTAGATAGGGCCGAAGAGACAACAATTGACTATAATCGGCCCTCACCTCGTCTCCGATTCCCAGTGAAGGGTTATTGATAGCGCGAAAAAATGCTGGCTCAAAGCTTGGATTGTCAACGAGCTGGAGGTGTACCTAGATATCTTTAATTCTAAGTAGAAGACTCTGAGTAGAAGACTAGCTTGTCATGGCCCAAAGGAACGCGTAGCAGATCACTTACCTTTGCCCGTTCGAAGAACTGGTGTCCACCTAGTATTCGATTGGGGATTGATTTTGAAGCGCGTTCTCAATCGTTCTGGATATAGCGTTGAACCGTATTGCAAACTATTTGTAAATGGGACGTACGAAGCACCGCGAAGTCTCCAAAACCTAAACATCCCACTTGATTGTGCTATCATGCGGTTTATCTCCCATGCAATGAAAGCGGATTCGTCATGTTCTGTAGGAAACGAACGGAGCCTTGAAGGAGGCTCAAGCAGATTATCTATATATGGAATGTTGTACTCTGCGATGTATCTTTGAAAGTGTTGGTAAAAAAAAAATAGTCATGTCTGCACAGCTCACCTTGGGAAATAATAGCGAGGCTCGTTGCAAGGATAGATCCCGCTGAACTGTAATTTTGCTCAAGCATGATCTGCGCTACGTTCTGGAAGTCTGGGAGCCGAGTCAAATTCGTTCAATGCGTGGCTATATGTGGCCACTGTCTTACCGTTCCGCATCTTAGCAAATTTTAAGTTGTAATGCCCGCAGATCGCCAACCATATACTATAGAGTTGTCAATTAGACCGAGGTCGGGCAGAGCGTGTTTGACTGATTGGGATTACCAACAACAGTCACGCAACAACTGGCAGCAGCGATACAACACATAAACTCACATTGGACTGTGTTCGTGTCTTGGTTTGTGTGATTCTGGGTGAGCCATGTTCGTGAATAAGAAACGAAAGCTCACAAATCATGGACAAGTATTCGATTGCAGCCACATGCGTCGGGCGTACTAACATGAGAGAACAGTTTTGCCAGCCCTTCAAGTTACCACGCTAAGATTGTTAAAGTCGTCAAGAGTCTTCAAGCGATGGCATTTGTTAATACAAATGCCTAAATCGAATTTGGTTAGATCGAAAGCCACGTCAATGTGTTCGGGACAGAGCAAAAATACTGGGAATAGGAGTATGGACTGTAACGCCCCACGCAATTGTCGAATGACAGATCCAACATCACGAAAATCGACACAGTCGAATTTCGATGGTTGTGAGTGTGGCCCTACTATAGAGATGCTCATACGTCCCATCTACGTCCAACCGACCATGACATACCACTCTACGGAGATGGAGTTAATCCCCCAAACCTGGGCATCCTCACTGGCATTCTTAACCATATGCTACGGGCCACAACATCGACCCCTATAGTCTTGACAGTCATGTGCGCGAGTCCCTCGCACTGATTAATTGATTAATTACAAGACGGTGTTTGAGACTGCGGGCATGCTTTTCCTCCAAGAATTTGACATTTACAGCACAACATGCCTGGACGAAGTTCAGGTCGACGCGCGAGGCCGTGAGATTCATGGGCGGGGAATTGTGCACCATAGCAATTACGCGGGTTACAGCATGGTATGGGCTTCCATGCTTGCAGATAAATATCACCACAGGTGTTTCTTTGTGTCTCCTGCAGTGCAGTCGATCACAATTTTCTAGTGTGATACTTCTGTCATCGTGACACGCCCGCAAAATGGAACTTAAAAACAGGAACCATACTGCCTCAAACGCTGTCGCCATGCAGGATGTATGATGGTTGTCGCTAACATATTCATAGGCCACTGTTCTGCTGACGTCGCAGAGGTGTATCATTGGAGATTATGAGCTAGTATGGGCAAAATGACACTTCCAATACGGCGTTGACCCATACTCGTCGGAGTTCTTCTATGTGTGATCGCAAGACATCGAATAGTGCGACTTTGATGGCTCATGTAACAGCCACATTTGTTGTAGGGATGTTGAAAAAAGACTTGCAGCCAAACGTCAACGACATTATTAAGCAGCGAGTCAACCAAAACTCAACGCCAGGGCCCACGGCCCAAATGCTCCCATAAGGAGCGAAGCGAAGGTGATGGTGAATGTGAAAGAAAGCTCAGCGCTCAAGCCTATAATATTTGAACTTGTGATCACGTGCGGTTCCCACGCCACGAATGCACAATATTTGCACTCCAGAGCTCACCACTCCAAGTATTTATAATTGGCGCTGTGTGCATTTCTCGTCGAATGATTAATTGTATGGACCAGAAATATCCTGTGTGAGAATGAAGCTGTTATTTTCAAAGGTCTTGACATATGGCATCATGGAGTATGTACGCGCGGTAAGAACAGAAGATCACGATATGGCAAAGTCACAGGTGCCTGTATATCGACACAATGTAGCAAAAATCGAATAGTACCTCACAAACGCGTGGACAAGCCAAGGTCAGCTGAGCTGACGGGCGACACCCCGCATGTCAGCAAACCAATCCTATAAATTAGCTGACTGCCTGTGAAACTGAAGACAATGTAAACTCACCTCTTCATCGTTCTTGGACAGGTGACGAGGATCAGATGCACTTTGTGTGTTGAGGTCGCTGATCGACTGTGATGCTTCGAACTGGATGGTGATAGGTTTTCTGGATGGGGATGCTGCACCCACCTCCAAGTCAACGACTTTCGTCTCAGAAGACTTGCACTTGGATCCAGAACCGTCTTCGACAGCCTTAAAACATGATCCATCCACAGGCTCACTCAAAGAACCAGCGACGCCTTCGACAATGTCTACCATAGCTTCTTCCATCTCAGGCGCTTCATTCGTAAATACATCTCCATCAGTGTCTGTGACAGCCTCTCTTGTATCCGCAGGCTCACTGGTCGAACCTGAACTTTCGTCCAAGAGAAGGGCTTTGGTGATGTTAGATATAGATGACGATACAGATTCAGGAGACAGTGTAGGGTGCGTCATGGTGCCACCACCCATTGGGAAGTCGCTGTTCGAAGCAGGAGTCATACTGTTGAACGCTGGTGACGTAGATCGAATTCCACCCTTGACACGTTTCGCAGCAGGCACATGTTCCGACTGAAAATATATGTAGTTGGAAATATGCGTCAATATTTACAATTATTCCAAGGTTTGAGCTCACCTCTGGCGTCAACGTCGCATTCGATAACGTCCGTTTACGCTTTACCGTACCGTTTCCCACCCGATGATCCATTAAATCTCCCACATCGTCGGATTCACTGCTGTGAACGAATGATAATAACCAGGGGAGCTCGTGAGCCGACATCATGCTGATGGTGGTGAGTTAGGCTACGGTGCGCGCATATGACATACCTTGCAACCGGCGTCGGTGGGGATGGCAGGGGCCTGAGTCGAGGGTGGCTGCTTCCCATTTCGTTTGCCGACTCCAGCTCACCGAGTTGACGGAAGATACACGCGAGGTATTCAGGGTGTGTGTCCATGTGCGCCGTCGCAGCGTACAAGCGTTCCATGCCCAAGGCTTCGAGAAAATGATCATTGCTGTCAAACTTAAACCAACCTGGATGTTTTGGGATCACCAATCCCTTTAATTCATCTTCCTTGCTGATGCCTGCAAGCTCGCAGAAGCGACAAGATATCCAAGCGGCAAGTTTGAGAAAAACATGCGAGTTGCCCTCCTTGAAAACTTTCTCGATATATTCGTCCCAGTCATCCAAATCACGAGGAAATTTCACATGATCGTAGTCCCCGGGCTCTGCCTGATAGATGTTAGAACATGTTTAGTTGTCAGATCATGTCGCTTAATTACGTTTGATTCTGGTATGTCTACCCCAGAGTGATGCTAAGCAATATGGTCAGTCGAGGGCCTGGGCTGGTTCCCTGCAAAAAGTACCCACCTCATCTTCGGATTCAATTGTCTCCTTAGACTTCGCTTTGTTCTTCTGGCTTGCATCCTTCCGGCTCCGCCCGCCTTTCGTAGACTTGTAGACTTTTTTGGCGACTTCTTTAGCATTCTTCGGAATCTCTTGGATATCACCGTCTTTCATGTCTGAATCACCCGAGGCGTCACGCTAATGAATAAATATAAGCATCAAGTATCCAGATTCACCGCAAGATGCACCCACATGTACTTCGGCTTCAAGTGTCCCCTTGGATCTAGACTTCACGTTGTTATTCGTTGTCGCGTTTTTTGGGTGGCGTACACCTTTGGTAGACGTATAAATCCTTTTTTCGACTTCCTTGGTTTCAAACGTATTCGCTGATGCTTCGAGAACAACATCCTTCATGTCAGAAAAACCCTGGGCATCATGCAGATCCATCAATAATGACGACTAAACACATCTGGTATTCTACGAGAAACACGCACCTCGTCCTCCGGCTGGATCGTCATTTCGGACCTCACTACCTCCTTAGTCCTGGCGTGGATAATACGATTACGGGGCTTCTTGATATTCTCCTGCAACTCAAATATATTCTGAACAACGTCGCTATCGATTGCATTGATTTCAGAGTTTTTCGCTGGTATTGAGCTTCCCACCAGTGAAAGAGTTGTTTTGACACTGGGGTTAGGCTTTCCGGCCCTCTGCTCCTGAGTCGCTGTATGAGAACCTTTGGCATTTACATTGCGGCTACCCTTGCGAGTCTTGCCAGCCATATCCACAGGGGATGTATTAACATCCGCCGTAGTGAGATTTTTGAGCCGTAAAGTCTTCTGGTTCTGATTCGTCTCTGCTGCCTTGTGAATAGTGTGTGGTTCGATGACCTGTGTGATCATTTCTTCGAGCGAACGCTGATGAGTGCGAGAAGAACCGCACACGTCGTCCCCATCTTTGCAGAACGTGTCATGCATTTTTCCGAGATCAACTAAAGGAAATGCTGAGCATAGAGTCTTGGGTAGAGTCATACTCACGCTGCTGCACTGGTGTATAGGACTTCTTCTGCAGAAAGTCGTTCCACGTGCGATCGATCTTTTCGAGTGCGGTGGCTTGTTGCTCATTTGTAAATGAGTTGCCGGCCAACGCCATAGCGAAGTGAAAGTCAAGGTAGCATGACCGCCACTTGGAACGTGGACCGGGAGAATCCCTTTGAAGCTCAGTTATGAACTTATCCAGAACGTCCACGAAGTACTGTGCGAGGGATAAGTGGAAATCGACGTCCTCTTTGACACCGTCTGATTCTGGAAGTGCCATCAGAGCCTTTGCGCTACCTCGGTACAGTTGAAGCTGGTGCACAAGGACCGACACTGCATCCTGGCACTCTTTTGGCACCTTTTCCTAAGCAATGAGATATGTCAGAACATAAAATTATATTACATAACATATATGTGGTTATTCACCTTGTTAATACCGTGTATCAGGAAGACTTGAGTCTTCTGCGATTCCAGTGACACCGGGAGGGATATGAGAAAATCTCCAACCTCCTGCGAAATTTCCTGGACGCGGAGGCAGACTGGCTGCTCGACGGAGCTTTCGCTTTTGAGCATGATGCAGTGAGGATGCTATAAGCCTAGACTCTCAGTTTGACGGTTGTTTCATTACATAATAATAATCATATAAAACAGTGGCGTGAGAAATGGACATGAAACCTTGTTAAAATTACACATTTGGACAACCTTGCCCATGCGATAGGGAAGTCCTGCCATCAACGTGACGGGGGAAGCACCAACCCCCGCACATGGTCCCCATATCAACCAACAACACCTCTAAGGTATGTGCCGTGCATGTAGCAGATTTGAACTCATACCACCGCCCGGATGATACTGAACGAGGATGTTGATCGGTTCATGACATCAGATCATGATGGTCGCATGGATGCCGAAGGCGTATATAACGCTAGCCAGGACGAAGTTACACATGTACGTGATACAGTGGAGATCTCTCAGGAGTGTGATTCGGTGGATGTCGAACACAGAGAAGCGACGATCAAGCGTAAGCGGACGCTATGGAGTAGTCAACCTCTATCAAAGGTCAGTTCCATCGGCTTTCATTTGTTTAGATGCTGATTGATACAAGGATGATGACCGAGAGACTGCAAAACGTTTTAAGCTTGATATTCATTTGATGCCCGTGCGGGATATACCGCAGATTATTACCTCTGCCTCACCGCCAGCAGCGAACAACATTTCGCTAGCTCTCGATGATCATTGCGCACTCAGCAAAAGCATCCCAGTGGATAGCACAGCATTTTCATGTTCAATTATCCATGAATATCCTGTTGACAACGAATGTAGTGCTTCCTCTGACCCCAGTAATACGGAGTCGGTTGTCACAGATCCCGTTGAAGATATGGATATGATGACGGGGGGTTCCCCAGCGTATGGAACACTGTCCGAGGTTACTGGAGATTCCTTCAATCGCGAGCGTGAAGACGCTAATGGGTCAGAGGATGATCGTGAAACAGGTGGTTCTATCGTCGAGGTCACAGCTGCGGACACACAAGGAAGTGTCAGCAACAATGGTACCAGCGATTCTTCAGCACGCAGCGTCAGTCCTGCCGTGGCCAAGACAACGTTTGTCAACCTATCCGGAGAGCATGTACCTCCGGCGATCCCTGCATGGATCAATGCCCTTAAAATGGTGGATAGGTCGCCTTCTCGCATCCGGGTACCACCTGGAGTTGGTACAGGATTTCGGTGGCCCGATCCCGCTCTTTTTACTCACACAGAGAGCAACACGCAACTGGCTAGGTACCTACTGCATTATTTAAGCTGTCGGTCTTGGTTGGGGCTCGTAAATCGTAGGGCACTCTTCCGTTCTATATACTGGAAGGATTTACTGGAAGGCTTGTCGGTGGAGAAGCAGTTGAAGAGATCGCCCCCGAATTCCAGGATCTATTCCATATTGAACCGTGGGCATGGTATAGATGAAGGAGAGGCGAGAGTGATACGCGAGCAAGCTTTGGATGCGTTCGAGGCCGACGCACAGGAAACCGAGGATGTGTTTAAGTGGGTGGATGTCCAGTTTAATGGCCGTTTGGCTATGACCTTCGAGTTCCGTGGGCTCGCGTTTCAACTGAAAGACCTACTCAAATTTCCCTCGTTCGTCATATCTCAAATCATATGGGAACTGTGCGAACACAACTTCGCCGATGACGTGTTGTGGCTGGATGTATTGTTTAGGCGGGGTCGTGATTCTACCGACACCTATGGTCCAGAACGCAGCATGGAAGTTTACAGCCTCTGTGGTAAGCAGGAGTCTAACACTCCAATGCCGCTGGTGAATATCTTGACTTTCATCTTTGAAAACGTGATCTCACATTTGAGTTGTATGATTTCCTTAGGTTCGAAGTTCCTTTGGGTCACAAAGATGGAGAGAGCGGGTGACATATGTGGAAGCTTTCCGGCAGCTCATGTCGACATGGTCTCAGTTCCCTGACCACCTCAAGACGCCAGTTCCAACATAGAATGAATACTTGTTCCAGGCAACAGAGGTCAACGTCATCGCCTTTTATGCGCAAACTCGCTTCGACTACATCGGTCGTCTACTCGTCGTGCCTCGTCACGTGCCAGATATTGATCCGATGTCACAGGCTGTATAATGTGTTCCGCAAAAATCTATGAATGTAGAGTTCGTCACGAATCTAACCGAAAATTTCTTGGTTGGCTAGTGTTGCGAAGCATTAGTCAAACAACAGAACGGAACGCATGTAAATTGTATTATATTCGTCATAAAGCAGTATTTTGTATGTGTCGGCAGGTGACATTTCTGCGTGACTTCGGCACTTTCAACTAGATCGCTCAATTCTGTTTTAATCGTGATTATTCAACCTCGTATTGAATTGTATCGGGGGGAGTGATACCTATGTTAAAAAATTTGTGTCTAAGTAGCTATAAATACGAGTTTTGTGAAAGTGCCGACTTCTGTGGGGGTGCCGAGTGTAGTGAGCAAGAGTTGCAAATCTGAGACCTCATTTTCATATCTCAATAACTACTACAATTAAAACAAAATAATTACATGGAAATGTAGCTACATATGCCACGGAAGAGTTCTGGCTGACAGAAGAACGAAAAGTGTTTAAACGATGCTGCCGGAGGGATGCCGATGTGAGGTGCCAAAACAGAGTCTGAACCCCGACCGGCAAAGTTCAAACGGCACACAAAAGGACCGTCGGCTGTAATCAGAGTTGATACTCTGTGCTCAATACTCCGCTCCCAAATGTCACGCTTGATCATTCTATCATGACCTTGCATCGTCGATAACTGATAACACCAGCAATGTTCTACTCTTGCAATCTTGCAATAAAAATGCGCAGGAGGTGAGATTAGTTTTGGGATCTTGCCCTGGTTGATCTACACCAAAGCTGATGTGACTTTGGGTGATACATCTGATCCCGAGGGTGTTCATCATGTTTTCATTTTATTTTATTAAACAAAATACAGTATTATAATTTATGGATGAAGAAGCCTCCCAACGAAGTAAGCAAAACCAAATTGGTATATTGTGTCACGTGGATCAACAGTACGTGTAAACAGTCCGTTAAACAGACTCTACACAACCTTTCATAATGCTCAACAGGCGTACGTTCGTTGCCCATAGCTTGCCTGCCAATGCGCTTGTAAATCAGAGGACGATCCAGCAACCACAGGCATCAAACATCGACCAGAAACGTACGAAACGCAACGCGAAAGCAAAAAGTTTTTACTCGCCATATCAGAAAATGACTCCCATTCTTTCCGACGACAACGTAGCTATGGATCAAGATCATGAGGAACATCAGGGGAGGGATAATAACTCAGAGACAGTTAAAGATGCAATACTAGTACGCATCACTCATACCTAACGACAGGAATGTTATTAACAAATCCTACAGCATTGTATCTACTGCCAGGACATTGGTTCGTTCATCTGGACGTGCACGAATAAATTGTGCGCGACCACTGTGTGTGTCAGCAAAGCGAAGGGGGACCACGGGTGTGTCGATGCTTCTCCAGATGATCTTACGGAAGAGGTAAGGGTCACGGAAGGGACATTTCAATGCCCTCAATGTTACCGTGCAAGTAAGAGACCCATTCCTGTAAGTCATACGTCAGTGCTAAGGTTTAATATCGTTGTTCATCAAGTCGTATTAGTATGCCATACGCGGATATGCGGTAAGACAAGAATTCATTCACCGGAACTATCTTCCCCTTCTGGCTGTCTTCTTGTCTTGGAGCGGCTTTGGGCGTGAATTCGCTGCGGATGTTGTTAAAAGGACCCTCGAGGAGCATTTTCATTATGACTATACCAGAGTATGACATAACCTTGATGAGGGAAGTATCGTATCTAATTGTAGTGATTCCCAGTTGCGCAGCATCTCCCGGAAGCTCAAAGGTCGAAACAATCGCCCCCAGGCTGTCAAACCCGATTTCGACTGGCTCGCTCGGCTCAAATACCAAGGAAACCTCCTGGTGTTCATTGATACCCATTCAGACACTACCACAGGTAATCTCGTCGTATCTGGGAATGCATCCAACTCTAATTCGGTGCCTATGCACGAGGTTAGTGACCTACATGCCAAGTGCTTATGAGAAAGCTTATTCTTCCGCATCTAGCTTCTTCAAAACTACTTGGGAGATAATTTGAAGTTCGCGACGCAAGCAATGCGCGAAATTAACGAGGCAGGTGTTATGGGTCCATGCGTTCGTGGCCTAGTTGTGTGCGCGTGTGGATCAACGGGCAGAGTGACTGAAAGCATCAATTCCCTGAAACGTCTCGTCGAGCTGTACGTGTTTGCATGTGAATTGGTTTTCCCTAGTTCCGACGCACAAGAATCCTCCACATAGCGACATCTTTGATTTCGTGTTGTCCTTCGCTGGCGTATCAACTATCGATACACTCGTTGTACCTGCCATCAATCGCTTCATCGAAAACGTGTTCGTATACGACATGAAGTTTTGGACTGCGCTGGAGCAATCGTTCGGCGAGGACCGGCACGCCTTGAACAGCTCCCCTGTCATGTTGTCGTTTGCGGAAACCCACATTGACACCGAAAATAAGCGACAGCGCGTGGTTGATACTAGGGTTCTGGCATACTCAAATTTCAAAGATGGTCGACCATGGGGCCTTGACATTTATCGGTGCTCCTGTGGGGCCCCGGCCCATAATATGATTTTTCACCCCGATGGGAAGCAGCTCCATGGGAAGCAGTGGATACTCACCAAGATGAAATACGAGTGCCTTCAGTGTGGCACAATTCGCCGGCACATCCCCTGTCCAAGTTGGATCCAAAAAACTGATACAGAAAATTTTGGACGCGTTTCATACCAATGGCCGCTTAGTCTCTCGCAGCGACAAGATATCGGCATCACTCATTAATCCCTTCCTTGTTATGCAGGTGAGCCACAGGTAAGACCCTAACTGTTTCGGTTGATCTACTGTTTTAAACTGTATAAACCGTAGTGTTCAACATTCTGTCTATTTAATCTCGCCGGTGTATACAGTATGCATGATACAGTATACAAGTACTCGCCTTCGGTCGGCTAGCGGCCCTCATCCTATGTTCATGAGTCGCGAACGTGTAGGTGCCATTTCAATCTATTTACAGTAACAAGTAGCAAGTACAATATTTGCACAGTTTTGATCTTCGTTTGCCTCTGAAATAAGCACAACGTCCTTACTTTCGATAATGCTGTATACAGTTGACCGTGAGCAAAACTTTGGATCTGTTCGCAACTCGAGCACGGTTCGTGCTAAGGTCAGTCCTTGACAACCAGACACGCACAACACAGCATGACGACTCTGTAGTAGGTTTGAGATCTGAGAGTTTGGTCAATCTTCATATCTCCTGTGTGTCATGCCGCTACTACACATTACAGACATTGTGTTGTACCAATTGTGACATGCTATAACACTGTAAACCTCTTCAACACTCTAGCAAGATGGTCCCTCGAAATTTCATCACCGGTGACAAACTGGTTGCCTTCGTATAGTATTGTAGAAGCCGGCATCCGTTTCGAGACACCTAGATGCTTGAAGATAGCATCTGCTATATCGGCACTTGGCTTTGCAGTCTCCCGGTCTTCCACCCCGTGCTTGCTACCGCCTTTCGCGCGATACTGTTGTCCTTGTGTGGCCATGATACACAAGCTTAGTAAGGGACGCTTGAACAGTCCTGCCCAAACGATCAAAATTGATAAGTCTCCTTCAGAATAATTCATTACTTACTGATTCTTGGAGAAAGACGCGGAACGGCTAGCAACATCCGACGAAGTGTCTCTAGCGCGTGTTCAAGCTTCTGGTTTGTTGTACAATCACCGGTTGTAGCATCGATGTAACGAGCGAGTTCAGAGAGGTGCAAACAACGGAAGTTATAGGCGTGCCCGCCTGTCGCAAAGGATTTAACGGGCGTGTAAACTGCGTGTGGCATCCCCGGAGGCATTATCCTTCAAATCATGAGGGAAGACATTTTGAAATGAAACATTATAATCTCGCACAATATATCACCACGCGTGAGGGTTATAACTTCAGCATCACAGTGCTCCCGCGCCCACGCTTCGTGTTCTGTAAAATTTCCCAATCTGCATACAACCTCTTGAATGTGAATTCGATTATCATATTGAGACTTGAGCCTAAAAACCGTCCAGAATTTCAGACCGAATTCCATCCTTACCCATGTCAGTGTTCCTTCGGCGTCATGGTGGGGATACGTGAGATATCCCGCCTGGTGAAGCAATCCCCATCCCTTCACAGTGAAATTTTCCGGATGTACGTTAGATTTTGCTGGAACATCGTATAAAGTTTCATTCCATCCATAAACAAGACCGTGATCAAGGTGCCTAACAGTGTCATGAATGATATGAGGTCGTGTGGAAAAAACGGAGACGCACTTGAGAGATTGCGGCAGCGTCGTATGCGCAAGTGGCAGGTCCAAAACACATTTGATCTTCCTTGGATCCATGATCGATGCAAAAAAAGACGCGATAGTACCAGGCTTCGTGACATTCACATGATCTGCGGCACGAGCCTGTACATCTGTTGCGTCGATCAGAAAAAACAATATACTCGAGTTCAAATGCACTGATACCGTGGATATAGACTGCTCGATTAGGAGAGATGCCGAAGTGCCTGTCCAGATAGTCTGGTGTGAATTCACCAGCGAGTGGTTGGTGCTCTACACCTCGTATCACGACTGGCTTATTGTTACCGAGGGCGCCCTCAACTCGATCCAAGATTTCGTCTGAGCCCAAGTCATTGTTGGTGAGATGTAAAACGTGATTTGAAGCAGGTGTGGATGATGGAAACTCGGCGAGATAATTGATTATAGGTATATCAACCGAATTGCAGACATTTATCTGGTACTCGTTGTATACAGCTGGAAGAATGCTGGTGTGGCCGTCCTTCCAACGGACTTTGCTACTCGTCTTTGGCACTTCCATCCCCAGCAGCCCTTCGGTCAGATCTAGCGAATTACATGTGACCATGTTGAGTGATGTATCAGGAGGTGGAACAAGGTTCTATCACTCAAGGGTGGTAATATAGCTACGCCACCGTACTACGCCGAGGTCTCACGAATGTTGATCCGAACTTTACCGTTTAACTGACAACGCGGCTTCGAAGGACTCAGAGCTATAGTAGCATCTGGCTATGATATTGTCATTTGTTACACTAACTACCAGGGATAATGAGGCATGAGACACCTCTCCTGTTGTGTTCGACCGTATTATATGTGCCTTTGTCAATAGAGAGACATTTGCCGCATACTCAGCTATCATATCCATATCTCCTTCCACTCATGTCTCGCTGACACTGTTTGAACTTTCACTGTATCATACACTGCAAGCCGAAACACATGCCAGTGTTAGCTCCAATCACGCTGTTAATACTTGCGACCATGCCCGCCGTCTTCTCCTTGCGGCAGCGTTGATGATGCGTTAACTGCTTGAATCCCGGTGGAGCTATACATCGGGGACACCTTCGGTTGAAGGGAGTTTACGCACGTCGAAAGTTTCTGTGTGCGTGCCTTGTGCCAGCGTGTCTGTATCGAAGATTCTGTGATAGTACTAGTAGCCAAGTGCCGTGATGCTAGCCTATGCCAGTTTCGAGGTTGCTCAAGTCTATAGGGTAGCTCATTATCAGACGTCTGTAGGTTATAATTTTCTGCTGGCGAATGTAAAGCGCAAGATGGTTGCACGAAGGTTTCAAATATCGCACAAAATGCCAACTGTGTTGAAAGAGTTTTTTCGTTGGTACGCGCCCGCCCGAACGTAATCTTGCCGTTATATCCATTGTTAATTCACCATAGTCAAAAAGATTCATGAAAGATCCCGGTACTATAAGAGTCACACCCACTCCTTCATAGTAGAACAGTCTATGCATGCCAGTGACACCGCCATACCCATCATATCAATTCCACAAATGGACCACACAGTCCGAAGGGACGCTGAAGAAAGTCAAAGTCACAATTCAAGCTGTGGACGGAGATTGCTCCCTCAAGGTATCTGGAAAACCCAAATGTTTCCCCATTGCTGCACACTATCAATTACCCCTACGTGCATTGAACAAAAAATTTGGTCTCTACAAGAAGATCATCATTCATCTGCGCGGCTCTTCCCATTCTAATGCAGTTGACGTGCGAAACACGTTTCTGTCGATCATGGGGTATATGAAAGATGTTTTGATGGCGTTTCTGGCTGACGCTAGTGCATCCGCCAACCCACTAGAATCAAATTTTAGATCTCCAGCGTTGGATTATTACCTGTGGTTGGATCACAAGGCAGACGGTTTTGATGATACGGCTCGCGCGCGCCTGAAGATGCAATGGAACGTGACCTTCGATGCCCTCAAGAATGGAAAGTGCGAGGACATTTTGAAATTGCGTACGAGGCCTTCAATCCAAATCATGTGTGGCTCTAATTTTCAAGGAAGTTGATTGGCATGCATACCACAAGCTAAAATGCAACGACCATGATTTCTGTGGGGCGATTCAGGGCTGCGGTGGAGGTGAAGATGTCCAGTCCTTGTTCCTTGCTGTCGATGCCTTGATGGACGAACTTGACACACCTAACGAAACGGTTGGAACACAAGTTCGTTCTGCGGATGTAGCGCACCCGTGTATTCAGGCAAGTGCGATATATGAATCCTCGTGCTTCTGTTGACACCGCTTACTCCCTCAGCTACCTGGTGCTTCATCAGGAGTAATAACTGATGTGGATATCATAGATGCCCGTGGGCTGATTTCGACAAACGTATGCGATAACTGTAGGGCGACATCTGATCAGAAAGTGCTGGAGACCGAAACCAAGCAGCACGCGGTGGTGCAGCTGAAAGGAGATTGCTCGTATTCTGATCGCGAAGTACAAGCGGTGCATCGTTCACAAGACCAAGTGATTCAGACTGCAGTTGATCACAAAGAACATGCGGTCCAAGCCAACGAGGGTCGCTTCTATTCTCATACAGACCAAGTGATTCAGACTGTAACTGATCACAAGGAGCATGTGGTCCAAGTCAAAGAGGGTGGCTCCTATTCTCATAAAGAATTACACGCAATATCTCATATGCAAGATCGAAGTATCCAAACTGAAACAGCGAAGGAGCATTCAGGACAACTCGGGGGACATAATTCCCGTTCTGGTAATGTAGTACCTACTGCTGTGTCGCCAATCACTGATCAATGCATCAACTACGAATATTATGTGTGTCATACCATCTTCAGCCTGTCATTATCTCCAATGCTGACATGACTGAGATTATTAGGTTGATTTTAATGACCGGGCCTCATCCACCATTGATGACCAATGCTCTGGTGGTGTATCACAAATCCCCGCAGGTAGCGTTAAGCCACGGTCTCCACCTACGTACGATAGCTTCAGCGTAGTTGCAGAGGACTCGGCACGATATTCGGTTGATCCGCCCGCTAACAAATCCAGACTTCTTGATAGCGATGGTGGTCTACATACTGGTACAAGAAATTATGACCATACTGCGCCTCTCACGAAATCAGCACCACGAGGCCGTAAGCAAGAGTTTATTTCTACAACAAAACCTCAGAAAAAGGGCAGCAGGAAGTCGCCTTCGGAGCATGGAAGACCCGTTGTTTTTGCGAAACAACAACCCATGCCGAGAAAGAGGAAGGCAGGGATCGCACCTACGCAATCACGAAATTACACGATCGACGACCTCGTGTCTGAGGCTGAGATGGACACTCAAAACATTCAACCTCATGTAAGTAATTGAACCGTGTTCGGGTAGTCTCATCTGAATTCATCACATAGATGCGGTCATTTCTGCTTGATCCAAACAGAGATGAATTCATCGCGACACATATACAAACACATCATGATGAGCTATTATCCGTGGCTACCTTCATCGCATCCCTACTGCGCGCGGGAAGCCTATCAAATGATCTCAACCCAGGCGCATCATCATTGATGTCCATTAACCTCTGGCTTGATTATATCGCACAGGAGTGTAAACAGGCGACTGAGATGGACAATGGCACGCTGCCACCACTGGTATGTGATTATGCTTTTTTTTTTTACTTTTACCATCTTCATTTTGTGGTATTCGATTGGCGATCAGTCCCACTGCGTCCTCCTCGAACTTTCCGCTTGCGCCAGGAAGGATGAAACGTCCTTACGTGACGCATTACAGAAAACCTTCTGGGTGAATATGTCCTCACGGTGGTATATAACCATGTTCAACTGACTGACTAATCGCTCAGGATAACAAGAGACGCAATCGTTTGTCACCCGTTCTTTTATATCTGTGCAAACTACGCAAGTCTCAGCCTGGTGCAGATGATGAGTATGCACGTGGATTCAAAGTTTTGGCACAGATGATACAAAACAGTCAGACGAAGCCTTGAGTCATTCATAGAAGTGCACAGCTACTCTTCTTCCGGGAGCCCTTCTCCGACTCTATGGATGTTACCCCACTGTCGTTCTATACATACATCATATATAGATTCATTGGCTCACAAAAGCTGACGAAGGGATGGTTATCGTCCACGTGCAGTTGCATGCAAGTAAAACTAGAAATCACCTTCAACGGTTTCACGGCTTTGAACAATTGATTACAAGCCGAGTTGAAGACATGCCAAATTATAGTTTCTGTAACATCTCAGTATTGTGGAGCACAACACAGACTTTGCGTGACATTAAAAATTTTCAAACGCCTTATGACGTCACGGCGCTGTCACGGGTATCATTGCACATGCAGTATACTGTATATCAGTAAATGCATTACTAAAGATTAGATACAAGCTCGATACATGAGGTAGGAGCCCACGATAGTTGTTGAGCCAGCCATGTAAATCAAATTTACCTGGTTGCGCCGGAAGCATTGCCGACAGAAGGCCAACCTCTGACTGAAGGAAACACTCCGTCACTTCCTTGGCGAACTTGTATTGCCGTTGTTTGGTCGAGTCCAGTCATGGACTCGCGATGGTTCACCGACTCCGTGTTGCAGAAATAGGCAAAGAACTCGTTGGAAGAAAAAATAGCACAAAGGAACGTGGCCTGAGCTAACACCAAGACATGCAGTCTGATGCGCATACAACAGAAAGTAACGCGCACACAAAAACAAGCAAGGCAGACATGCAGCAAAGAAAAAGAAAACAATTCACGCGCACAGGAAAATAAAGGGTGCCTGGAGGTTTAGAGGACCTTACAGAACCCTCCTCCAAACTTCGTGAGTTGGGAAAGCCATGCAGAAGATTCACTCCTCAAGCAGGCTACGTGAAGACTTCCGGAATTCTTTCCTGTTAGTGGACGAGTCTCCACCAAACGGGTTGATGATGCAAATCTCAAAGCAGGATACATGTAGGTGAATGTCCACGACATTGTTACACCTGTAAAGGTGCGACCACCGTATTGTATCTAAGCTAGGCATTGAGCCAACGGCCCACCCATAAGGAGCGACAGCAAGTGGGTAGTAGAAAGCAAAGAACGAAGGTGGGAGAAACAAAATTTGAACTTGCGAACACGTGATATTCACACGCCACCAGGAATTTCGTGGGAGAAATATATTGGAACAGACAGACGACGAGACCAGCAAGTATGCTGACTCGTGGTCTTCTGTTCCAAATACCGTTTCAAATCTTCTTGTGTTCGCAGGTTTGAAATGTCCGAACTCGTGCAGGATGTGTTTCACGTGGAGCGCTTCCGTTCGCTGTTCGGCTCTTTGATCGTGCCGTTGTCGTGCGTAGGTTTCGCATATGAGCAAAAACGTAGGGCACTGATTCGCTTCCTTCGTGGCATTTCACTGTATTGATTTAATTATGCAATTGAGGTGTATATTTGAGTGTTGCGTGCACTTTTTGGAGTTGCAGTTGCAATAAGAGAGCTGTAGCATCTTGTGTATATAACTGTCCAATATCCGTGAAATATATTGAAAGCGAGGATGGGTCTATGGTGTGCATGATCGCGCATCGGGGGTGTTGCACATGATTGCTGACACTGTCCTCGTATATTCACAAGGATTATAATGCTCCGTTCACTGATACCATTATGTGTTCTGTGTCCGTCGCACTACGAGTGTACTTTCGTCTTCATCTGGTATGAGCTCCCTGAGGTCATCGTGACAGGTATTCATCAGGAAGCGGTCTCGTTGTGGAGTGATTACCTTCAATGGTCGTATCGTCACTTGGTTAGACGCTCCTCCTAGTACCGTCAAGTCACTGTAACAAGGAGCAATCAAATGTGCATTGCATCCAACGAGCATCTACCAACTTTCTTATTTCAAATGACTTTTAAATGACTGAATTTGAATTATTGGACGATGTCAACCTCGTAAACATTTACAGAGATGGAAGATGCGGAGGAACGTAGATGTTCAAGGGCGAACGAATAATGAAGCAAGCTCAGCATAGCACTGCTTTTTCACAGACTGGGCAGCGGTAATGGGCAACATCATCAGTATTAGAAGTTGGCGCACATTGGCTTAGTCTGTCCTTCCATCCATGCGGAAGTCTGCCAAGCGTCTTCGACTCTATGAGGAGCGAATTTGCTTCCACAAACCTCCGTGAATTTCCAACTATCCCATAAGAACCCCCTCTGGAAATAGGCGTTGTCACAGTCCGAAGGAACTCTTTATCCAGTTGGACATTATTGAATGCGGGCGACAGAGTTGTTCGAGGACGTGTGTCCACTTTACAATCGAGGCCTTCTAGGCATGTACGATTGAACCAGCATGCACATGTCCTGCAGTACCGCTGTTCGACAGTCGGAAAATATAGGCCTCTGGGAAAATAACATTGATTACAGCCACATATCATGGGAGTGTCTTGTTGCGCATTCTGAGTGTTGCGAATGTATGCGACTTGAGCAGCATACACAAAATATGATGTACGTACGGTAAGATGCGCTTTCTGTAGCTTGCCGGCCTTGATTTCAATGCTGATGTCCCAGCGACAATACAGTGTAGCGGGCGGTATCTGACATTGGGTGAGGTCGGCCTCGTCATATATCTGGATGGTAGCATGGTCTGCCAGCAATTGATATCAACGGATTATTGATCAGTCACATAGCTCCCACCTTCAATGCAATGCATATCTACCAAAGACTTGTGGTCACTGCGCACAAGCTCGTAGTCTCCCACAAACTCGGCAATGCTACATCGATAGAGTCAGAATCTTCGAAAAAATGAAGAACAATGACGTCTGACTCGACACACTCATCCTTAAGGTCAACTCGTCTGTAATACCATTGTATGTTAATCCACGCATCCTTGCATGGATAAATGAGCACCTCAGTTGTATTTTTATGATATTCGCTCACTTGACTGTTCCGTGCTACATAGATATCATTCACCTTCCCGTACCAATACCCCATGGCAGGAAGACTTCCATCTTCAGTTGGAATCGCCCTTTTATCATCCGGGAAAATTGCCACACTGAAAGGTTGATGTAAGCATTTTCACTGGAACAGAAGATATATCGTACTCGTCTCCTTCCTTTAATATCATACGTTGAACATCGTCGCCTGTATCCGAATCATTGGCCGATGTGTAAACCCCTACGAGTGAAATCCCACTCTAAGCTTAGACACCCAATGAGCACGCAAGTATCAAAATACACACATTCCATAGAGCTATACTTCCGCAGTCGATGCATCTTCGGCTGACGCCGGGGCATGGGTGGTAATGTCCTACCCTTTCCATGGGACATAGAGCTGAGTATCGAAGGACGGCAGGACATAGAGGCTGGGATGGGGTGCCTGTTCAATTGGGTCAATTTATAGGTGTTTGATGTGTTGCTGTTGTTCCGGGCCATCCCGTGATCCGTGTAGCAATAGAGCGGCAGATTTGAACTGGCCGTGACAAACAAACGTGGACCTCCTGCATCAGTGAATTGAGGAGTCCTCGATATCAATATACCCGTGGGACTTATAGAACGATATTATTTTGCTTCTGCTAGGTATAGGCATCTATATGAAAATTTTGTAACATTGCTATGTAGCTATGTAAGCCTGCGAACCTAGACGACAGCTGTCCCAGCTCAACCGCCCCCCGACAGGTCACGTGACTTATCACGTGACCTTGGGAACTTATGTATGTGCCATGATGAACATTGTGTGATGCCTACCGAAAAGTGTGATACTCTACCTACATGAACCGAGACTCGTCATCTGACCAAAGGATATGCTCGAAATCAAAATGCAAGAGAGTGCTACCCCATGATGACCCAAAGATGACTTGTCAAAAGTGTCGGGATGCAGACAGACTTAGTACTGCTGCTCGGAGGAAGAGGAAGCGAGAACAAGAACAGGAACAAGAAGCTCCCCGTCCTGCTCCATCTCCTCCTGCCGGCAATATAGACGAAGGCACAAGTCAAGCAGCAGACCCAGAGTCCAATGATGAATCCACCCTAGTCAGTATTCAAGATGGATTCAAGGAAAAGGGTACTTACATGCTATCACAGTATGAGAATGCTCAGTGTCTATTCGCAGCCCTACGAACCTCGTTTAAAAGCTCAAATGATGTCCAATTTCATGGAAGTTACCTTGTACCTGAGGATCCAATCACAAGTGAAAAAGAGAGGGTCCAAATGGCAGCACTTGAGGTCTGGAGGACAACCGGATATCGTTTCAGGTAAGTCGAATAAGGTGCATGGTTTTGACGCTTACCGTGATATTTACAGGGTACAACACAACTACCCCCTCAAGACAGGACACAAGACAATTCTATGGTGTTGTCAAGATGAGGACAAGAAACAGAAATCCCGGCCAAGCCAGAAGGAAGGTGTCAAACACCGTGATACAATTGGAATGAAGTGCTTCCCTTGTCGGAGCGCTCTTACCATATCTTGCTGCAATTGAATGGGTAACCAAATTAACGCGCGCACATTATCCATTAGGATGAGGCATCATGACGCACATGTGCCTTACTACGATGTGGCTATGCCATCAGATGCGACCCAGATTATCCGTGACCAGCTCGAGTGGAGTAGTCCGAGCTCATTGGCCCCGAAGATCCAGGCACTTTATTCTACCCATGATTTTGCAAGTCCATTAGAGTTAAGGCTGGGTTATGGTATATCTAAAACAGCCATATTGCGCAAATATGCACATGTCAGATTTGCGCAAAATTGACCCCTCATATTGCGCAAAAATACAAATGTCAGATTTGCGCAAAATTGACCCCTCATATTGCGCAAATATACAAATGTCAGATTTGCGTGATATGGACCCTTCATATTGCGCAAATATACAAATGTCAGATTTGCGTGAAATGGACCCCTCATATTGCGCAAATATACAAATGTCAGATTTGCGCAAAATTGACCCCTCATATTGCGCAAATATACAAATGTCAGATTTGCGTGAAATGGACCCTTCATATTGCGCAAATATACAAATGTCAGATTTGCGTGAAATGGACCCCCCATATTGCGCAAAAATACAAATGTCAGATTTGCGCACAATTGACCCCTCATATTGCGCAAATATACAAATGTCAGATTTGCGTGACATGGACCCTTCATATTGCGCAAATATGCAAATGTCAGATTTGCGTGAAATGGACCCCCCCATATTGCGCAAATATGCACATGTCAGATTTGCGTGAAATGGACCCCCCATATTGTGCAAATATGCACATGTCAGATTTGCGTGAAATGGACCCCCCATATTGCGCAAATATGCACATGTCAGATTTGCGTGAAATGGACCCCTCATATTGCGCAAATATACAAATGTCAGATTTGCGTGAAATGGACCCCTCATATTGCGCAAATATACAAATGTCAGATTTGCGCAAAATTGACCCCTCATATTTTGCAAAAATACAAATGTCAGATTTGCGTGACATGGACCCTTCATATTGCGCAAATATGCAAATGTCAGATTTGCGTGAAATGGACCCCCCATATTGCGCAAATATGCAAATGTCAGATTTGTGTAAACTTGACCCCTCATATTGCGCAAATATGCAAGTGTCAGATTTGCGCAAAATCGACCCCTCATATTGTGCAAATATGCAAATGTCAGATTTGCGTGAAATCAACCCCTATGTTGCACAAATATACAAATGTCAGACTTTTTGAAATCAACCTCTCATATTTTGCAATTTGGAATTAGAATGGAGTCACTGGAATCAGTTCAGACATGGTGTGATATATGAGTGTATTATTATGTAAGCTTGCTATTGTGATATGAGTCAAACTGGTATCCTACAGTGAGGTCTTGAGATTTGGTTAGAATTAAAACTAGTGCAAGTCAGGAGGTGTGCATAAGGAAAATCCCACACATAGAGCTTGATATTACTAAGCTTGTAAACCTTGATATACAGCCATCCAAAGTTTCAAAAACACAAGTTCTGAGTTTCTCGATAGTGGCCTAAGAGTCTGTTCGGACATCATTTTCGCCAACCAACTTTGAAATTCCAACGTAGCCCATACAAGACCAAATTAGTCCGAGACCAAAAATAATGTCGCGCTGATCATGCTGATACAATATGATAGTGGTCGCTGAGCCTATTGTACAACACAATGCATCCTAACGACCTCAATGCCAAATTTGATCTACTAGACCCACTAGACAAAGATGATGTCGACATCGAAGACAGTGCGGATGAAGATTCCAATTGTGCTGATGCGGTAGACTCCGACCGACTGGACGTAAATGAGCTGCACTGGATAGACAATATGTTCCATGGTGCTGCTCGTGTAGCAATGGCTATTGCTGATGCTGCTGGGCAGGTACTCCAAGGTCACTCGCAAACTCACTACAACAAGCAACCCTATTATACTTCAGCCTTGTCTGTAATGGCATGGGTCAACGAACTCCTCGCACGACATCCAGACCACATACGATGCGAACTT